CCCCCCAACAACAACTTCATCCCCCACCATGTCGCATTGTACCCCAGGAGCTGTACTCCATTTACAGTGAAGTGGTCAGGACCTTTTTTCAAGAGACGTTCGCGCTCTACAATTCAGTAGCGAAATGGTAAAACGGTAAAAGTCAATTTTGAATATTGGCCAGTTTTCAAAGAATATCTCGGAATCTAAGGAAGACAGCCAAATTTTTGTTATAACCTTGTTTGAAACGCAGCAAATATTTTCCTATCAAAAGTTACCGGGCTCAACGGAAAATCTAGAACGACTTCGGGACCCTTCGGCTTCACGGGCAACTCACGAAGCAAATCGCCAAATCAGGAGATGCGGCAGCGTCTCTCGCCAAGTACGCGCCCATAACAGAATGGGGCGTACGTGAGAACCGACCGCACTCCTATAAAGCTAGAGTAGGTCACCTAAAATTCACTAATTAATTACAGCGTAGATAATGCTTTCAGGGCACTAATTTTTTTTCTGAACACAATTCAACCTCCTCTCCAATATTAAAGAAAAAAAAATGTTTACGCAAATTTGGATTTTTTTAAAAATAGTCGCCCCCAAAGTTTGCCCATCTCACATCTCACGAAAGTTTTGTGGATATGAATTTTCAGTATCAAACTAACCGTCAAAGAGACGTCCATCGATCGGATACAATCATCTGTTTTTTGGGCCATTTCAAAAAATAGATGAATATGTCATGAAGAGTATCAATAGACTCTCTTCACGGCAATTTGAGAGTTATTGTTTACAAATCGTTTATTGAATTCCGTAGCAAATCTTCCTCTCTCCCTCATTCCTCAGTACGTTCTCCACAAATTCCTTGGAAAAATCATCCTTCAGGCTCCACTCGGGATCATACTGATACAGATCCGCAACTTTTCTCAAAATGAATATCCTCTGGCTGCTCTCCAACCCCTCCAACATGATCCTACAAAGCACAATATCCCTCCGACGAAAGGCACTTTCGAAACCCGCAGCCACAACTTCATCATCTCCCCCGAACCTCCTATAAAACAGTCTCCACAGTTTTCTGAAGGGGTCATACACGACCGAGTAATATAGCCCCTCAGACTGCCTTTTCCTGAACCCCTCACGCCCAGACCCAGCCAAATTCGGATAATACCCGAACAAAGAAACAAAACGAGCCGCGGACACATTCCCAAATTCCTCGATCCAATGATCGATGAACAGAACCCAAGGCCATTCCAAAAGATAGACGAATATGTCATGAAGAGTACCAATAGATGTTCGCAGGATGCCATCCCTCATTTGCCCCAGTAGATAGAATGGACTCTCCTCACGCCAATTGATCCACTCGTGGTTATCCGAGAAGAAATCCTCGAATTCTTCATAATCTCTCAGCTTACTCCGGAAGTACTTGACCGCCGCGATGTTAGATTTGTAAGAAGCGCTGTACTTCAGGAGATTCAAGTTGATGTTATTCTCGTCGTAGAGACCTTCCCAGCAATGTCCTTTGAATGTCGAATACTCCCCCTTCGACAAGAACCTCTTCTTCTTCGGGAATTTTCCGTACAGCTTCCAGTACCAGTAGATGCTGTAAGGATCCCCGGAGAACCTCTTACATTTCTTGAAATCTATGCTCCTCGATAATCTCACGATGTCATCTTCAATGCAGTAGTGGCACAGTTGGCACCAAGTCGCGAAATCAACAGTCTCCTTGATGCTGACGTAAGCCTTCAGCATGGCTCTACCATCCACATATCCACGATCGTTCCACGAGAGGTTGTCAATGAAGTAGAAAAGCTTCTTCATGGAATTGTCATCAAGCTTGTACTTCAGCTGCATTGTTTCCACAGCTGTGTGCAACCAGAACATGGCGTCCCAGACCATTTGCTGGACGTAGGCCTTCAGCTCATGCTTGATTACAGATGGAACTGATAATCTCTCGATGGACTTCTCCAGGTGTCGGATCATTGAATCATCCGGCAGAGGCGTTGGGCATATCAAGAGATTCGCGGTCTTGTAGAAATTTTTTATCTCTTCTTTACCTTGCGAATTTCTCCACAACAGTTGCACTGCTCTCACTGTTGCGATGTGCCTCAGTGGGAGCACGAATCTGAAGGGATTTCTCGCGGATGTCATTCTGCTGCGTTTTGCAGTGAGATTTATTGATGGATCAGATTGATGGATTTCACTCGTAACCCTATACGCTAGCTGCGTATCTCATAAAGAGCACTAGTAACGCCGCCTCAGCGGTGTCTTTTGGTAACTTTCGGGTGTTAATGACTAACTTCATAGCTTTATCGCTTGAATTTTGAATTCAAACTAAACCTTCAAACAGACAAGCAAGTTACATCATCCAAAGTAAAAACGACTGAAAAATGTCCATAATTTGATATGAATTTTGCAGTGATTTCATTCAATTCGAGTGTTGACATTCGAGTTCGAGTTATGACATTCAGTGACAAGTGAAAATTGAAAAAGAAATGTTTCAATCGTTTGTTTTTTCTGCCTATAATA